ATAAACTCAAAGATTCAGCTTCCACTACCTTCTGGGGAAGAGAATTTCACATTCCATCATCCCTCTCATCTCTATATTTAAAGGAAGAGCTTCTCTTCTTAAACTATCTTGCCCAGTTTTCGTTTCTCCTGTAAAAGGCTCAAGGAGCATCCACCTTCTTCAGTTCTCTCGAGATCTTCTGTATTTTGATATGATCATCTTTCATTCGTCTAAACTCCAATGGATATGGCCACAGTGTGTTCAGCCTTTCCTCATAAGAACACCACCCCCTGCAAGTTCCCCTCCAAGCCACTCACCATCCTGACTTGGAAATATATCGCTGTTTCTACGGTGTAATTGGGTCTAAGTCCTGGAATTCCCTCCCTAATAGCATTGTGGGTCTACTCACACCCCAAGGACTGCAGCGGTTCAAGAAGGCAGCTCACTACCACATTCTCAAGGGCAACTAGGCCTGCGCAATATATACTGTGCAGAGCCAGTGACACTCACAGAACCCCTACAGTGCTGGAAGAGGTCATTTGACCAATCAGGTCTGCATCAACTGTCTGAAGAGCATCCCACTCAGACCCAGCCCGCTATCCTGTCCCTGTAACCCTGCATTTCCCATGGCTAACCCACCTTGCCCGCACATCCCTGGACATTTTAGCACAGCCAATCTACCTAACCTGCACATCTTTGGACTGTGGGAGGACACACACGCAGACACGGGGAAGAATGTGCAAACTCCACACAGACAGTCACCCGAGGCTGGTGTCGAACCTGGGTCCCTGTCGCTGTGAGGCAGCAGTGCTAACCACTGTGCCACCGTGCTTCCCAAAAGATAATAAAAAAAATGCCCTTCTATTGAATTGTCACCAAACTCCATCTGGTTCACAAATGTCTTTTTGGGAACGAAACCTACTGCCCTTTTCTGGTCTGGCTGATACGTGACTCCAGACCCACAGCAATGTGGTTAGCTTCTGACAGCCCTCTGAGATGGACTAGCAAGCAAGCCAGCTGTGTTCAAGAAACCAGCTCCCAACAGTAGTTAGGTTTTATGTAATTCCCAACCTGTTAATGATATTTTGTTTTAAATGGAGCTGCATTCTTGTGATTGTACATTACGCCTCACTCAGAGCAGCTACCCTCCCCGTTGCACTGGCTCTGATCTATCTGCAATGGAATGGTGCGTTGTCTGGTCCTACAATCTCGCTCCCACAATCAGAAACATCATGAGTTATCAACAGGCCCAAATGTATTTGAGGGCAGTGCCAAGGTAATTAGCCAATTACAAAATGACCCCTGAGGGATGAAGTACCAGTTCCTACATTGTCAGTAAGCCCAGACTTCCATTTCAGAGATTGCCACCATCAATTTTCTCAGCACGGCCTTGCACCTGATATTAGCAGATGCAGGTCAATGAATGGCCAGCATCCACTCTGACTGAAGAGTGTAAATAGTACTAAGTTACGATTTCCTGTACCATCCCTTACTTTGACGTCAAACATCCTCCATGTAGAAATCAGATGGCCACAAGCACAAACAGGCTGCCTTTGTAGCAGGTGCCCACAGAGCATGCCTGTGCCTTGATGGAAAACAAGACAACCTTTCCCTCAGAAATGTTTTTGGTTGCAAGCCCATGGATTAATACTCGACCATTTGTTTCTGTGGAAGCAAACAACCCTTTAAAGGTCATTACCTTGGAGAAAGATTTTCTTCAAAATCCCCAAACTCGGGTTGACTTGCTTCAGTCAAGACTGTTCGAAATGCTATTGGCTCCCTCAGGTGTCACATCCACTGTCATCGACTGATGGTGAGATCAAGTCCAGGGCTGCTTCTACCCTTGGAAGAAGCATCTGTTACGTGAATATCTTTAGCCTTCAATGGTATTTGGAAGGCCCATCTTTAAGGCACATCATGTCATGCCAAAGAGATTTATTTTCATGGGGTAGCATGTTGACTGTGCAGCTGTAAACTCTGACATTTCAGCAACCCTGGTTTATCTGTGACATCTTGTTTAAACACAGCCTCAAACCTAGCAGCACTGTTGTTTATCTTTTACAGGAAACTATTCTAGTTTTCCACACACTTGTAGACAGAAATTCATCAAAAAAAAACAGCCTCTGATCTACAAGCTTTTAAAGGGGTGGGAGATATCAGTCAGCCTGTGGCCGAGGCCTTGGGCTCAGTGATGGGGTCGTACCTCCATCATTATAAATCCACCATTCCATTGATGAGCGGCATTGTCATGCCTTTTAAAGATGTGGCTTTAACATCAAATCTGAAGATTTAGCTTATCCTGACCAAATTTTGAAGCAAAATACATTAGAAATTGGTAGTGAAAAAGTCAAAAGCGATGGAGAAACTCAGCAGGTTTGGCAGCATCTTTGGAGAAAGAAACAGAGCCATCGTTTCAGGATATTTCTGATGAAGGGTCTAGGCCCGAAACGTCAGCCTTCCTGCTCCTGTGATGCTGCTTGGCCTGCTGTGTTCATCCAGCTCTACACCTTGTTGTTTCAGGATATAACCTTTCGCCAAAGCACTCTCATCTTTTATCTGGCTATTGAACCATAGTGTTATTTGACCAATTGTAAATGGGATTATGTGACTTCAGTTCTACTCAAGACGATGATGTTTCTGTGTTTTATTTTTAAGCAGAAAATGCAAATTTAACTTGCTTGGCTAAAACAAAAAATGCGGGTTCTGTAAGGAAACTTGTTTCTTTGCGCAGAAAGTTGATCTGGAGACCATTCCCTGAAAGGACAGTGAAGTCGCATTCACATTTGGGGGGCGGCACAGTGGCTCAGTGGTTAGCACTGCTGCCTCACAGCGCCAGGGACCTAGGTTTGATTCCACCCTCAGGCCACTGTCTCTGTGGGGTTTGCACATTCTCCCCGTGTCTACGTGGGTTTCCTCCGGTGCTCCAGTTACCCCCCACAGTCCAAAGATGTGCAGGGTAGGTGGATTGGCCATGCGAAATTGTCGCATAATGTGCAGGTATGTTTAGGTTGGGTGGGTTAGACATGGGGAAATCAGGGGTAGGGGAATGGGTCTGGGTGGGATGCTCTTCAGAGGGGTGGTGTGGACTTGTTGGACCGAATGGCTCACTGTAAGGATTATATTCTAATAGCCACTTTGGAAAGGGAGTGAGATATATATTTGAGGGGAAAGATTTGCAAGACATTGGTGAAAGAACAGATTCCAGGGGATAGTTTTATCAAGGAGCTAACATAAACTTAACGGGTTGAATGGCCTGCCACTGAGCTGTGTCATTCTGTGATTCCGTTGCATTCTTCACCCAAATACAGATTTCAGATTTTAGAGTCCGAACAATTTCTTGCACAACACATCTGTCAAGCCGCTGATTTATATGTTATAGGTGGTCATTTTATCAGGAATAACTCTTCACAAAACCTTATCATCCAGCAAGGTGTTTCTTGGTGGTCTGTAGGATATATATATATAGTGTATTTTATGAATTGACAGGGCGAGAAGAATTAGAACTTCATAGTTATTCACGTGAGGATATGGGCATTAACTTGGGATTCACTTGTGCCTCTATAAGTAGACCCAGAGAGAAACAATAATTGTTGAGTTAGGAGATGCATGCTTGTCATATCTAACTCTATAAATAAATGGAAGGTTGACTTCCCAACTGTATTTCTGGAATATAACATTCCTCACCTCTTTACTAAACTGAAATTCTCTTGTTCACCCAAAAAAATGACAATTTTTGAGATTGGCCAATGCTGTAGCACCAAGTCCCTAAAACGCATCCCCATGCTCATGGTTAACATCAACTTCAGATCCGACTGTGCCTTGATCTTAAAATTCGCCTCCTTGTTTCCAAATCCCTCCATAGCATTGCTTCTAACCTCTACAACCATTTGCAGTTCAACAACCTTCTGAGATTGCGCAGTTCTGTGGTTCTGCCAGCTTTCACATTCTTAGTTTCAACCACTGTCCTGGTGATGTCTGAGCCAGTTGGCATGGTGCTAAGCTTCATTTTTGCTTCCTTAAGCTTCTCCGTCACTCCACCCCGCACTTCAAGGTCCTCAAATGAGTACCATGGAATACTTTACATCCATCTCAAATGCACAAATGTGTCTTCAGTTTAATGTGATACTAAACAGCACCTCCCACAATATTAAGAATAGATTCTTATGCTCAAATCTGATGCATCATAATAATAATTGAAGGAATTAAATTAATGATTAAATGGACAAAAAATTAAGGAAAAGAAACAGATCATACTGCATTAGATTGGATAATATTCTTAATGCACTATAAGAATGGTTTAAAATATCATTGAAAATCTATTTCTAATGGCACTTCTGCTTCCAGTTTTTTTTTCATATTCGTAATTTGCCGGATATGGATTTAATTAAACTGTATTTATTTTCCTGTATTAATTTTAGCTTTGGCAAGTTCAAATGGAATAAAGCATTGGTTCATGAATTTTATGTTGCCATGAAGTGATAAATCAAGCATTGGGATTTGTTGTCAGAAAACATACATCATAATTTGTTCATGCATTCTAATAATGTGTTGCATCTCTTTCAGGACATCTAAGTCACTTGTTTCTCCTGGGAAAACAAGACGGGTTTTTTTATGTTCTCAAACTTCAGGCAGACTTTTCACACAGCATTTCTATATACTGGGAGTGTGACTTACAAAATTTTGATTTGATTTGATTTATTATTGTCACATGTACTGAGGTACAATGAAAAGTGTTGTCTTATGTGTTTTACAGGCAGATCGTACTATACAAGTGCATCGAGGTAACAGAAAAGTGCAGGCTACAGTGTTACAAAATAACCTACAAGATATCCTCTTTGTTTCTGTAATCACCTTCATGATCACTTCGAAAATAACATGGAATTGTTTCATTCAGACCAGTAGACAATCAATAGGCTTGATCCAACTAAGCTTGTGTTCATGGCAGTTCGAAGGACATCTAAGGAAGATAAACCTGTCACCAAGTCTAGTGATGGCACAATTCTCTTTTTTGTACTCTTCAGATGAAGAAGATATGCATGAAAACTCCCCCTCGACAATGAAGTATAGAAGTAACGAATTGTCGGAGAAGAGTGACGATAAGATTGAAGGTATGATGATTTATTTGTAATATGTAACCCTTAGCAATATCGCGCTGACTTGATGTACGTTTTTATATTGCCACAAATGTAAGTGGGAACATAAGACTTCTTAGAAGAAGAAATTTGGGCTTTATACTCACTACAGAAGGTGCAAAGTGATTATTAAGTGTTCGTAGAAAATACATTGCACTTAATTCCAATTCCACCATAGCCTTTTTAAAATTTATGAGCGAGATGTGAGCACTTTAAGAAGGTGGTAATGAGCAGTCTTCTTGAACCATTACCGTCTGTGTGTTAGCGAGGGGAATTCCAGGCATCAGACCTCATGAAGGCAAAAGAACAGAAATATAATACAAGATCAGGGTGGTGCATGGCTCAGAGGGTAACTAGCAGATAGTAGTGCTCACGTGAGGTCATTGCCCTGGCTTCTCTGGCTGGTAGAGGTCATGGGTTTGGAAAGTGCAGCTGAAGGATCCCAGGCAAGTTGGGTCAATGACTCAAAGTGGTTGCTGATTGAAACAGGTTGAGAGAAGACCATGATGGATGATTCTGGAATTTGGGTCTTCCAGATATGCAGAGACACTCCCAAAAAAGGAGTGTGTAGCATTGGAGAGAAGATTAAGATGAATCATGACCCGAGTATCTGAAAAAAGAAATTAAGAATTCAGTGCAAGCAATATTATTATCTAGTAATGAATACAGAATCCAGATGAAATGTGCATAGCATTAACAAGCCTTGAACAAGACATGAAATGAGAAGTAATTATTTTTCTGCAGATTTGTAAGAAGGTGGAAGAGTATAGGTGTTGATTAACTTATTAATAAAAAGAATAAATATCTGATTGTAAGTGAGATTGAATGCTATTTATAATATGAAAGTCTGCTTCTAGTTAATTATTTATTTGCAATTTATAAGGACAGGCACAAATCAGGATGATTCTGTGAGGGGTGATGGCTCCTGTGATGCTTGGACTTGTGACAGTGTTGTACCAGGAAATGATAACAATGCTAACAAGTGATTGAGAGTCAATTACACAGCTTATGTGGTTCAGATTAAATCTATATTCCACTAATTCCCATGTTTGTCAATGGCGGTGACCGAGCCAAGTGTGTGGAAGCACAGGTTCTTCGGGTTAATTAGCCTTCTGTTGTTTGTCATTCTCACTGTTCTTTGTTTCCAAGACCCTCTGTGGCCTCACCATTTCAATAACCATGTAACCCCTCCGTGCCCGCCCACAACCCTCCAATCCCCCTGAGGTCTCAATGTCCCTCCAATTTGGGTATCTTGTCCTGCCCTGATTTTAATCGCTGCACTATTGCAGCTGTGTGAGCCCTGAGCTGTGGATCTGTCTTTGACCCATCTTTTGGTGCATGTGACCTCGTGTCAATTTGGTTTGATAATCATCCTTGTGATGTTTAACATGCACGGTGCTGTATAAATGCAGATTCTTATTGAAAATGATATTGGGTCACTAAGATTGGCCTCTGCTGCCTCGTATCAATGAATGACTTGATCCTTCAAGGAATCAATTGTATAAAATGCATCAGGAAATGTTTGTTTTTTTTTGAAGAGCAGATGCAGGAGAATCTGCAGCAAGATTGTCCAAGTATCTTCCCACTCTTGGGATCATGTTCCCCCTTCTAAATCTCTCAGCAAATTCCATTGCTTAAAATAAATATGAGCTAGTTATGTTCCAACTGTCTAGTGATACCTCTATATCGGAGGCATTCATGACCCTCAGCAAGAGATTCTGTTTATCCAACCAACAGTCCACAGAGTCTATTTGAAAAGGATCTCGTGAATTATGTTTCCATGTCTATGTTTCTAAACAATGGCAAACAGAAACGTGAACCAGAGCTACTGCAAGTCATTCCAATAAAAACAGTGATTGTTTTTAACTGAAGAAAAACATGGAATTAAATCATGTGTGTGACATATCCATCCTGTTCACTTGTCAGAAAGGCAGGCTCCTGATTGACTTAGGAAATCATCTCCATTCTGATCGGGAGTTCTGATGAAATTCTCTGATTATATCCATTTTCTTCCTACTGAACAACTTCTGTGAAATGTGGCATTTATGGCACTCTCAATTCCAAGGGCTGCTCAGTGTCAATATTCAATTCTGCCCAGCAATAGGGGAGGAGCCTACTGCAAGCTTTCTAATTGGTCACTCACGATAGTTCAGGGGTCAATGAAGAGGCGTTGCGTTGAAAGCCCAAGCATAGACTCCATGTTTGGAGTGCTGATTTTTAGTTGCACAAGTTCTTTGTCGGGACTAGTGAGATAAGTCCTGAGATCGGTTGGATATCTTGGTGCTCTTAGAAGTTAAGCCAAGTTCAAGGAGATATTACAGATAGGGCTCAGAAGAAAACCAAGACATCTGTTTCGATTTGCTGTGTCAGGGCACAGAAACAGTGGGATAGAATCTGACTGGTGTTCTGCCCTTTTGTTACACCCACTGCTAAACTTGTGGGGTCCTACCCCTTGAGAAGCCAAGAGGCACTAATAGATCAGTATAGCTAAGAGCAAAGGGTAAAAAGCTCCATGCAGTTTCTGCTTCATGTGAATGAGCAAGATAAGAGGAAAATCCCAGGGAAGTTTTAGCTTGGTGAAGCAAGCTGTCATTGAAGAGCTGGAGCAATGCCTGTGATTGTGTACTGGAATGCTCCTTTTGGAGAATCTGGGGATCACGAAACCAGGACAGGTGGGTGACTGACCAGGAGTGGTCGCTGAGGCAGTCCATAATGAAATAACTCTTGAGGGGGCATTTTAAGGCTAGTTTGGGATAAGTGAAGAATTATAGTCCTTGTGAACATCAATGAGATTTGCTGACTCACCATGTGATTAACATTAGGAGGGTCTGTGAGGAGTATTTGAGAAATGTGTGGGATCTGTCTTGATCATATTCTCTATTTATGGGTTATTTGAGCACAATCTATCACCACATGTTAATTCAGAGAGTTCGAAATAACTTCCACACTTCCACTTGTACGTTGTATCTCTATTCTAACATTATAAAGTCAAGTTTATTGTTGGTGGTTCACAACTTGTGGGTTTATTCTCTTACTAATGCCCATGAATCTGACATTTTGTCCAATATAAAAAATATAAAGTGACTGGTCCCTAACCAAACCATAAAGATGTTTTGGTGATCTCATTCTAGGATCACAACAATAAATTTGACAGATCATAATCCACTATATACAGTTCTTTTTGCTGGGTGCTGTTAATAATTTTTATAATCCTATCTAGTTCCTGTATGGATTCAGTTTCCATTTTATGACTTTTTTTAATACATGATCCATTGTGTTACGAGATGGTTGTTCTGTTCGAGTTAACTCAGTGGAATATTGACTTATTGATTGAATTGTTTAAGTACTAGTGTAAATCTTGTAGTCACTGCATCAATGTGTGTTTTGTCATTTGCTGTCACCTATGTTTATTCCAAAGGTACAATTTCTTTGTTTCTGTTGTTATGTGTTTATTATTAAATTACTTCGATAGATATTGACTACATTCCTCTCCATCTTTCTTCTCTTATGTTCAATGTTATCTACACTGAGGTCCCACAGCAGAGAGAGGAATTGGAGTTGTGAAACTGGTCAATGTAGAGCCTGTTGTTTGCTGAAGACTAAGAGATCCTGAGAAATGTTCCCATAGACAGAAGAGACATCAATGTGCTTTCTCTGCCTTTTGTTTGATCTCTGGAAATTTCTAAGAACAAAGTCAGAGAGAAAGCCAATGATTAACACAAATTGCAGTGGTCTGTCTGCTCGGTACCAATGGGCATTGTTAATTAGGTGGGTCCTTTTCCTGTTCCTCAGGCGCAAGTGTGAGCTGTCAAAGGTGGATACATGTCTGCAAAGCAGAATTTAGTCTGGGCCCGAAATCAATGCATGTTTGAAACAAAAGGCAAATCTGTTTCGATTTGCTGTGTCAGGGCACGGAAACAGTGGGATAGAATCTGACTGGTGTTCTGCCCTTTTGTTACACCCACTGCTAAACTTGTGGGGTCCTACCTTTCACAGTCGTAAACATAGAAAATAGGAGCAGGAGTAGGCCATTCGGCCCTTTGAGCCTGCACCACCACTCAATATGGTCATGGCCTATCTTCCAACACAGTCCCCTGTTCCCACTTTCTCCACACACCCTTTGATCCTTTTGGCCCTAAGAAGTATATCTAACTTCTTCTCAAAAACATTCTTTGTTTTGGCCTCAGACACTTTTTGTAGTAGTGGATTCCCTAGGTTAACCTCTTTCTGGCTGGAGAAATTTCTCCTTATCTCAGTCCTAAATGGCCTTGCCCTGTATCCTTGGAATGTGACCCTCCCGGCCATTGGGAACATCCTTCCTGCACCTACCCTGTAAAGTAGGCATTGGGACTTTTGAGTATGTTAGTGACATGCCAAAGCATTGTCAGAGCATCCCTACCCAAACTTAGTTCTTTATAAATTGCAACATCAACTTCCGCTTATGTAGTGCCAGTACTGTATCAAAATCTCTCGAGGTGCTCCATAAGGCTATTATAAAGAGAAATGAGACAGTCAGCCACATGGCGAATCAACGGTCAGATGAACAAAAGTTTGAACAAAGAGAGAGAGAGAATTTTTTTGCGTGTTTTGAAAAAGAGAGAAATTTAGTAGTGGAGAAGCTTGGGGAGGAGATTCAGAGCTCAGGAGCCAGGCAGCTGAAGGTACTGTCCCAATTCAAGCGAACTCGTGGATGGTCAAGAAGTGCAGGGATCTCGCCGGTATAGTGTTTTCCATTCAGTACAATGTGGTGCCTCACTTGGAGCTGGTGTGCTTGGTCACAGACTTTGTGCCCTCCAACAGGGCATGTTTGGCCAGCTCCCCAGGCAGCAGTAGGCACACACCGGTCTGGATCTCCTGGGAGCTGACGGTGCTGCGCTTGTTGTCATGGGTCAGGCGGAAAGCCAACCCCGCGACGAGCTCAAAAACACCACTGACAAACGGGGGGTTGGTGGCCGTGGGGAAGACGCTGGTGTCCTGGTGAACCTGCTTCATCACTTTGTAGATGTAGACGGAGGATCTTTCTTTCCTGGACTTCTTGTCACTCTTCACTGTTCTTGCCTTTCTTGGAGGTTCACTGTGTCCTTGTCTCATAGTGACAGTCAACTTCAACTCACTGGGTACATTTTTTACACAGAGAGTGGCTTGTGTGTGGAATGAATTTCCAGACAAAGTGGTGGATGCAGGTACAGTTACAACGTTTGGATAAGTCCATGAATAGGAAAGGTTTGGAAGGACATGGGCCATGTGCAGTCAGGTGGAACTAGTTTAGTTTGGGATTATCACTCACTCAGAGATAGTAGGAACTGCCAATGCTGGAGTCTGAGATAACAAGGTGTAGAGCTGGATGAATACGGCAGGCCAGGCAGCATCAGAGGAGCAGAAAAGCTGACGTTTCGGGTCTGGATCCTTCTTCAGAAAAATGCGATCATAACAGACATCCCAGACCCTTTTGAAGAAGGGTCCAGACCCGAAACATCAGCTTTCCTGCTCCTCTGATGCTGCCTGGCCTGCTGTGTTCATCCAGCTCTACACCTTGTTATCTCGTTTATGGTTGGCTTGGACTGGTTGGACTGAAGGGCCTGTTTCCATCCTGTATGACGCTGTGACCATGTTTGGAGAGAGAATAATAGCACTTTCCTTAGCTCCATAGATGTTGCTGAGCTCTGCATCTTCTGCCCATCCAATCTCTATAACTGCTCCGAGGCACAACACAGCAGGTGGGAATTGTTCTTTCTCCCCAAATGGTTGAACTTTCTCTAGAGATGTGACCAAAATATTAATTATTCTCTTGAGGCTGACAATCCAATTTCTTGTCAGTATCGGTTTACAAATGTGATGCTTCCAGACCCAGACCAATCACTATGCCAGTGGTTCTTAACCATCCTCAGATCACTGGTCCTAACCTATTCTTTTTCCTTTCTTCTTTCATGGGATGTGGGTGTCAGTGGAAAGACCAGCATTTGTAACCCATCCCTTGAACTCAAACATTTCAGAGGACATTTAAGAGTCAATCACATGGCTGTGGGTCTGGAGTCACATGTAGGACAGAATGAGTAACAACAGTAAATTTCCTTTGCTGATGAATATTAGTGAACCAGATGGGTTTTTGCAACAATTGATGATAATTTCACTGTCACTAGTATTGAGACTAGCTTTAGATCCCATTATGGGATTGAAATCCTAGTCCCGAAGTGTTAACCTGGCCTCCTAGACGACCAGTCCAGTGACATTTCGGCTGTGCCACCTTTGCTCTTCCTATGTCAAAGAGAAAAAGAACCCACTCTTATGAAAAAAGATTAACATTCATATAAAGTTTTTCACTCTATCAGATTTCTCAGTGTGTTTATAGCCAGTGATGTCCTTTACAGTGTAATCACTGTAGTGACGGAGAAAGTGCAACAGTCAAATTGCGCACTGCAAGCTCTCATAAATACAATGTGAAAATGACCAAATAATCCCCTTTGGGATGTTGATTGAGGGATAAAGACTGACCAGGATGGTGCTGTCCTTCAAAATATTCCCAAGGGATCTTTAATATCCAAACAGCATAAAACAGGGGCCTCAATTTCGCGTCTCATCCCAATCACGCACCTTGGACAGTGCTGCACTCCCTCAGTACTGCACCGAAACATCAAACCGTGTGCTGAAGCCCTGAAGTGAATCTCCCGAGGCAGAGATGAGAGTGCCCCTAACTGAGACACAGCTCGTTGAAAACTTGCTGTCGTGCTGTGTGAGACAAATAAACTCTTCGAGCACAATCTGTAACATTCCTAGGAATGATAGCCTCAGCCTGTGAAGGATAGTTAGACAGACTAAACTTCTACTCTTCAGGAGTCCGGGAAAATAAGAGGCGATCTAGCTGGAAGGGCTGAATGGCCTGCTCCTGCTTCCAAGTCCTATTTACATCAATCCAATTTCATCAATAAGACCATTTCATTTCCTGTCTACTTCTTTTTAAAGTGAATTTAAATTCTCAAGCTGCCCTGTGAGGCGCATTATTTGGATTAACAGTCAGGCCAGGGAACTTGTGGAGTTCTCTCTGCAATTCCCTGCAGGATTTTCCACTGCCAGCAAAAATTCATAACTCGTGTGGAATAAAAGTCAGCTGCTTGTAACTGAAGGCAGCAGTTCTCTGACCAATTATTTAGCATCCAGGCCTGGTGGATAGTGCACAGGAAGATTATGCTAAACTTATCAACAGGCTGACCTTGCAGGATTCAGCAACATCCACTTGCCTCAAGGAAACCGAGAGCCACTGTTTTGTGTGGAGGTCCTGATGGCGTTTGCACCAGGATTGCTGGTTAACCCAGTTGTCTCGAATTGTCTTAACAGCGCCACAGTTGTGCAAAGTTTCCATTTCCATTACAGTTCGATTAGCATGAGAATAGGGCATGGGTTAGCTCAGTTGGCTGGACAGTCTGTTTACAATGCAGCATGATTCCTACGGAGTGGGTTCAATTCTCGCACCAGCTCAGGTTTTCTTTTTAATTCATTGTGTGGGATGTAGGCATCGCTGCCTGGGCCAGCGTTTATTGCCCGTCCCTAGTTGCCCCTTGAGAAGGTGCTGGTGAGCTGCTTTCTTGAACCGCTGCAGTTCAGTTGCTGTGAGTTGACCCACAATGCCCTTAGGGAGGGAATTCCAGTATTTTGGCCCAAAAGGTTACCATGAAGAACTCTCCTCTCAACCTCTCCCGTCGCCTGAGGCGTGGTGACCCTCAGGTTAAACCACCACCCATCGTCTCTCCCTAATGAGATGGTCTGTAAGACTATGGCGACTTGGTCTTTCTTACAAATAACAACACGCTGAAGCTGCTTGGCCATCCACGCAACTAAATGCAACATAATGCTTGCATTTAGATGAATTCTATTTTCATGCATTTGGCTCCTCCCCTAACAGCGCCTTCCTAAACCTCCACCAGTATCACTTCGAATGACAAGGGCACGGGTCAAAGGGACAGGTAGTCTCTGAGCAGCAACCCTGTCCTTGCATTCACTACCTCCAGGTTCCCCTCCAAGCCACTCACCTTCCTGACTTGGAAATATACCGCCATTCCTTCACTGTCGCTGGATCAAAATTCCGGAACACCCTCCCTAAGGGCATTGTGGGTCAGCCTAAAGCACATGGACTGCAGCGGTTCAAAAACACAGCTCACCACCACCTTCTCAAGGGCACCTAGGGATGGGGAATAAATGCTGGCTCAGCCAGTGATGCCCACATCTCATGAATACATTTAAAAAGATCAGAACCAGAGGAAACTCAATACTTGCTAATAAAATTGTTTAGGGTGGCTCAGTGGTTAGCACTGCTGCCTCACAGCACCAGGGACCCAGGTTCGACACCACCCTCGGGTGACTGTCTGTGTGGAGTTTGCACATTCTCCCTGTGTCTGCGTGGGTTTCCTCCCACAGTCCAAAGATGTGCAGGCTAGGTGGATTGGCCAAGGTAAATTGCCCATAGTGTTCAGGGATGTGTAGGGTAGGTGGGTTAACCATGGAAAATGCAAGGTTACAGGGACAGGGTAGGGGGTTGGTTCTGGGAGGGATGGTCTTCAGAGGGTCAGTGTGGGCTTAATGGGCCTAATGGCCTGTTTCCACACTGTATGGAATCTATGATTCTGTAAAAATCGGTATGTTTCATTGAGGCTTTCAGATTGATATGAATCATGTTGATGTTTCAAAGCACATCAAAACAAGTTGTTAACAAATGGAAAATAATGCCCTGTCTGTATCTTACTGTTCTTGTACAGAAAAGAGGAATTAGTGTATTTAGCATAGGCTGTGGGACATATGAATATTTACGAACAGGTTCGAACCACAGATTTTCAAATGACAAAGAACAAGAGTGATCACAAAGTGCCTCACAATCAATCAAAGTATGATTTATTAACAAAAAGATGTTACACAGGACAGAGTGACAGACGCTGGATATCTGAAAAAAGGACAGAAAATGCTGGTATCTTGCCACAGTTTCTCCATCAGCAGTTGTTACCTGACCTACTGAGTATTTCCAGCATCTGGTTTGGAACTGAATTTTGAGAGACTTGGCCTTCCCCAGGACAACCTGAAAGCTGCACAGCCAATGCAGTTCTTTTAATGTTTAGTCTCCTTTTTGTGGAAGTTTGGCAGGCAGTTTACATCAGCAAACTCCAAAAAGCAGCTTCGTAATTCTGACCAAGAGAGGCAATGGCCTGATGATGTTATCGCTAGACTATTAAACCAGAGACCCAGGTAATGTTCTGGTGACCAGGGTTCAAATCCCCCCGCAGCAGATGGTAGAATTTGAATTCAGTAAAGACATGTGGCATTGAGAGTTCAGTGATGACTAGGAATCCATAGTGGATTGTCAGAAAAAGCTATCTGGTTCATTAGTGCCCTTTAGGGAAGGAAACTGCCATCCTTACCTGGTCTGGCCTACATGTGACTCCAGACCCACAGCAATGTGGTTGATTCTTAACTGCCCTCTGGGCAGTTAGGGATGGGCAATAAATGCTGGCCTGGCCAGCGACGCCCTCATCCTGTTAATGAAAAGTTCTGCCCTCGTCCCACAAACGAATGGAAAAAAATAATCTGAGATAGTAAGAACTGCTGATGCTGGAGTCAGAGATAACACAGTGTGAAACTGGAGGAACACAGCGGGCCAGGCAGCATCAGAGGAGCAGGAAAGCTGACCTTTCGAGTGGGGACCCTTCAGAAAAGAAATAATTTGCTTCCTATTATGTTGATCAAGAGATTGCCCAGGACTCGAGGGTTAACTTCATTGTTCTTCCCCAAAATAGTAGCCATGGGATCTTTTGTGTCCATGTGAGAGGGTAAGTGGGACCTCAGTTGAACATATCATCCAGAGGATGTGATTTCTACCAGCACAGTGAGCCCTTAGTACTGCTCACAGAGAAGCAGCATGGAATTTGGTGCCTCATTCTCCAGAATGGGATTTGAATCCAGTGTCTTCTGTCCTTTTTTTATTTCGTTCACAGGACAAAGGCATCGCTGGCCAGGCCCAGCATTAATTGCCTGTCCTTAGTTGCCCAGAGGGCAGTTAAGAGTCAACCACATTGCAGTGGGTCTGGAGTCACATGTAGTCCAGACCAAGT